GCTCTCCTTTTCCGCGTCTTTGCTTTTAGCGTCTGCGTCCAAGGGAGCTGCCTTTCCCCCGCTGCTGCTGCTGCTGCTGCTGCTGCTGCTGCTGTCAGCAGCAGCCATCTTGGAGTCTCTGTCAGCTCTGCGCTGCTTCCACAGCAGCATTTCTTTTCTTCTTGCTTCTTTGAGTCTTTCGACCCACTTCAAAGTCGTTGGCAGCCGCACACTGTCCAGCTCCCCACAAGCGTCTGCTGCTGCTGCTGCTGCTGCTGCTGCAGCTGGCGCTGCTGCTGCTGCTGCTGCTGCGGGGGCAGCGGCCGCAGAAGCTGCGCCGGAGGCCGCAGGCTCGCCCGCCTGCGCCTTCTGCTGCTGCTGCTGCTGCTGCTGCTGCTGCTGCTGCTGCAGCTGCAGCAGCAAGTCGCTGCCGCCGTCCAGCAGCCACTCCAGCGCCGCCTGAGTGTCGTTGTTGAACTTCAAAAGTGCAACTCGACTTTCTGCTTCTCCAAACCCTTGACTTCTGAGAATTGCGAGAGAAAGAATGTCCAGGCTGCCGCCATCTGCTGCTGCTGCTGCTGCTGCTGCTGCTGCTGCTGCGTCTGCTGCTGCAGCGGCTGCTGCGGGCGCCTCCGCCCCAGGCGCCTCTGCAGCGCCCTCAGCAGCAGCAGCAGCAGCAGCGGGCCCTGCTGCTGCTGCGTCCGCGCCGTTCGCGCCGTCGGCAGCAGCAGCAGCAGCAGGAGCAGCAGCAGCAGCAGCTTCCTTCTCCCACTTGCTCAGCAGCCGCTCCGTTGCAGAGACACCTCCGCCAGACCCTAAAGAAAACGAATAAGGGTCAAAGGGAGGAGACTCCCGGTCCGCTAGCTCCAGCTCCACCTACTCGCAAACCCTAAACCCTAAACCCTAAACCCTAAACCCTAAACCCTAAACCCTAAGCCCTAAACCCTAGGAGGTCGCAGACCCTCGTCTGCACCCACCCGCCCACGCTCCCCGCGTCTCCCGCTGCCCCCCAACCCCAACCCCCAACCCCCAACCCCCAAACCCTAAACCCTAAACCCTAAACCCTAAACCCTCACGAGGGGTTTGAGCTGCTGCGGGGTCATCTCGACCATGGGCCTGAACTCCATGCGGCGCGGCAGCACTGCAGCAAGCGCATGCGCTGCAGCAGCAAAAAAGTCATACTGGAGATACTTGAGGGTTTGCAGCAGCGAATCATAAATGTCGCATTTGTAGCAGTCGAGCAGCTGCAGCCACTCGAAGAGTTCTTCATCTGCTGCTCGGAAGCTTTCGTACGCTGCTGTTGTTGCTGCTGCTGCTGCTGCTGTTGCTGCTGCTGTTGCTGCGGCGCTCGCTGCGGCGCTCGCCGCCGCCGCGGACCCGCCCCGCTGCTGCAGCACCCGCGCGAACGACAGCCCCCCGCCCTGCCCCGGGCCTGCTGCTGCTGCTGCTGCTGCTCCCGTTGCTGCTGCTGCTGCTCCCGCTGCAGCAGCAGCAGCCCCCGCGCCGCGGATGAGCTCCTGCTGCTCGCCGGCCTCCCCGTCCTCCTCCTCCGCCTCGCCGCTGCCCCGCCGCTCCCGCTGCTCCCGCTGCTGCTGCTCCCGCTGCTGCTGCTGCTGCTGCTGCTGCTGCAGCCGCTCGAGGTGGCGCTTGGCGAGCAGCAGCTCGGCGAGCCGCTTGCGGCGCTGCTGGCAGTCCCTGCGCAGCTGCTGGTTGAGCTTCAAGTGCTGCTGCAGCGGGTCCAAAACGTTGAAGAATAAATCTCTTTTGAACCTGCTGAAAACTGCATGCGGGGCGTCGGCGCGGGTGATGCGGTGTACAGACTCCCGGTAGCAGCAGGCGTCCCGCGAAATCCAGAAGTCGCTTTTTTTGCAAAGTCCTTTAACTGCTGCTTCGCTGAGAAGTTCAAGTCCGCAGCAGAGGCTTTCCACGCCTTCCAAGTAGACCTTTACGCCTTTTTCGAGGGCCTGCAGCGTGCAGTCGTACTGCTGCATGTCCCGCACCATCCCCTCGAACACGGGGTCTTCGCTGCTGCTGCTGCTGCTGCTGCTGCTGCTGCGCTGCAGACGCTCCAGCCAGCACGCGAACTCCAGCTTCAGCTGCTGCAGCGTTTCCTCCACGCCCCCCATTGCCGAACCCGAGACGCACGCACGCGATCCGCACCCTAAACCCCCGAAACGAAAACCCTGGCCCAAACCCTAAACCCTTTTTCATCGAATTGCTTCGCTTCCGCGAAAAAAACTGAAAAAAACACCCTTTTCGACCCCGAATCCGCAGAAGGCGACCCGCGCGCGCACGACCCGCTGTACATACACCCCAACGCCCCGCCGGAAAGACAGACTCCAAACCCTCAATATACACCCCAAACGCAAACCCTACAAACCCTTCCTAAAACGCTAAACAGCCGCAAGCCACAAACCACAAACCCTCGCTAAACCCTCGCCAGCCGCCGCCGCAGCCGCTGCTGCCAGCGACACAGCAGCGCCAGGTGTACGTACACCGCAAATCGATGCAGCCAATTCCAACGCCACAACTACAAACCCCAAACCCTAAACCCTCAACCCTAAACCCTACTTCCAGTCCCAAACCCTCCTTTCTCCACACAATCCTCTATCCCTATCCTGCATGCAACCCGCTAACCACTCCAAACCCTAAACCCTAAACCCCGAACCCTAAACCCTGCAACCGCTAGCTGCCGCTTCACCCAAACCCTAATCTTAGTCACTTTCCACCACACTCAGCAGAAACGCAATTACCAAAAACACCCGAGCCACACAAACCCTAACCCTAAACCCTAAACCCTAAACCCTTAACCCTGAGATCAACGTCGCTCCACTCTTCCGCAGCTCGCAGCCGCAACACCAACGGCTACCGCCAACCTTCCGCCGTTGACACTAAACCCTAAACCCTAAACCCTAAACCCTCGAGACTGCTGCCAAACCAAACTTTGAGAGTCAAATTTAAAGTCAAGAAACTCCCGAGGCACCAGGGGCATCTTAAGGGGCTCGCCCCGGGGGCCCCCAAGGGTTTAGGGTTTAGGGTTTTAGGGTTTAAGCTCCCCCACGGAGCCCACAAAGGGCCCCCAAGAGGCCCTCAAAGGGCCCCCAAGGGGCCCCCAGGGGGCCCCCAAGGGGGCCCCCAGGTGACTTCGGAGGGGCCCCCAACTGCAGCAACCTCATGTGGGCTAAAAGGCCCCTAAGGGACCGTTTTAGCCCTGGGGGCCCCTAGGGGGCCCCCAAGGGGCCCCGTAGGGGCCCCTAGGGGGGCCCCCTAGGGTACTAAAGTTCCCTAGGGGGGCCCCCAGGACCCTTTTAGGGACCCCTTGGGGGGCCCCCGAGGGGCCCCAAAAAGAGCCCCCCAGGGGCCCCTAAGGGGGCCCCCGACAGGCCCCTGCTGAGGTCTGCCTCTTTGGGGAGGCGCGGACGGCGAGAACAAAACCCTAAACCCTAAACCCTTGAAATTGCAGAATTGGTTGTCATGGGCCAAAAGCGCCTTTTTCTTTGTGCTCATTTCCAGCAGCGAGTAAATGTGAAATAAATAAAAATAAAAAAAAAAAATAAACAATTCCAAAAAATGCAAATAGGGAAAATAAACAAATCCAAAAAATGCAAATAAATACATGCACTTTATTCTGCAAGTGGCAAAGTGGAAAAGACTTCAATTTAATCTTCTTCGAATTTATTAATTTTAATTTTAATCTTAATTTTAATTTTCCTTCTTTCATAAATATTTGTTTCTTACTTTCTCGGACTTAACACTTTTTCAAAAGGGTCCATTTTGGAGGCACTTTTGGTGGCCCAGTAGGTGTGTGGTAACAGCTTAGGGTTTAGGGTTTAGGGTTTAGGGATTAGGGTTTAGGGTTTGTGGACCGGCTTAGGACTCAAATTGCTTATTGAGTTAAACTGAAAACCCTCAAAAGAAATCCTGAATTGTTTCTAATCTAAGAAAAATAACTTTATTTTTTGAAATTGAAAATAAAATATTTAATTAAAATCAAATGCATGCACTTGGCTGCTTTGCTGCTTTAAAAGAAAAGCCGAAAAGACAAGAAGTGCAGCTTGGCGACCCCGGAAATAAAAAATAAAATAAATAAAATGAAATAAATAAAGCAAAACAAATGAAATAAAATAAATAAAGTAAAACAAAATGAAGAAATCAAAAAGAATAAAAAGGAGGAAAAAAGCGCCGGCGCACGAGCTGTCTGTACACCCCACGCCTCCGCCGCGCAACAAAAAAACTCAAACTTCAGGTGTACGTACACCTCAGCAGCCCTAGCCCCTGGCCCCTCCCCTTTCTTGGGGCCTCCTTTCTACAGGGGCCCCCAGGGGCCCCACGGGCCCCAGGGGCCCCCGTGGCCCCAGCGGGGCCTGCACTACGGCGCCCAGGGGGGCCCCCAGGACAGCTCTGGGGGGGCCC